ACTTAAAGTTCTTGTCATACAGGTCTTTCACTTGTTTGGTTAGAGTTATCCAAAAAGATATTTTATATTATTTGTGGCTATTGTAAACAAAGAGAACAATACAAAGAATCAATGAAACAAAGAGTTGGTTCTCGGAGAAAATCAACAAGATAAACAAACCCTTAGTCAAACTAGTCAAAAGGTAGAGAGAGAATATCCAAATTAACAAAGTAAGAATTGAGGTACAGTTATATGAAGGTTTTTTAACAGGCTTTGGTCAGGTAGTGATATTACTTGTGTCATTAAGATAGGAACAGGAGGGCTCTACATTCTGAAAACACTTCTGTTCATTCAATTGGGAGTCAAAGCTAAATGTTTGTTGTAATAGTTTTATCTTGTGACATACTGTCTTTGGCTTTCAGAATCAAGAGTTTGTTACAGTTGTATCATTTGAAGAACTTAAAGCCTTTGTGTTTGCTGTTGGACTCTGTAAGTTTCTTGTATTTTCCTAGTCCTGTTGGGGACAAGGAATATCTTCCATATCAACATTTGACAGACACGACATTTGACATACTTGTTTATTTGTCAAATTTCTCTGTTTCTGTTTTGAATTTGAAAATATTTGACACACTTGCCTTTTGTTTTGGAGCCTCTCTTCCATGGAGCTGTACCAATATCAGAAGAAGTAGGTCTTGTACATAAGCACAAGGCTCCCTATTAATAAGGAGGTGTAGTTTGGGGGTCTCCATAAAAAGTGTCAGAATTGTTTTCCTAATCATTTCCTGATATGAATGGCATTTACTAGATGAAGTTTTTTATCTTTGTTCTGGTATCGTCTTGGATGCAATTATTTTAATTCCTTCAATGACTCAGAGAAGGTGGCTTTTCAAGCTATTTTTTATATAATTTTAAAATTTAAATTAGAAACAAGCTTGCTTCATATGTGAATCCCAGCCCCCTCTCCCTACCCTCCTTCTTTGACCATCCACAAGTCCCCCAACTCCCCACCCAAACCCCACACTGTTCCCCAAGGAGAGTGAGGCCCTCCATGGGATATTTCCAGAGTATCTCATTTCATCCAGGGCTTCGACAATATAGGGGCCCTCAGATAGTAGATCAGTATTTATCCCTGGCATACAAATGGACTTAGAGACCTCATTCCATATGGAGGGATGCTCTCTCAGCCTGGACACATGGGGTAGGGCCTAGGCCCTGCCCTGGACGAAGCTTGTAGTCTTGACTTCTTTGTTGGTCACTTTTCCCACTCTGAAACTAGATTCCAGGAGTTTGGCTCAGTGCTTATCTGTAGATTACTGCTTCTGCTTTCATCAGCTACTGGATGAAGGCTATAGGATGGCATTTAAAGTAGTCATCAATCTCATTATAGGGGAAGGACTTGGTAGCCTTTCCACTATTCCTTGTGGAGCTCTGTACAATTCTCCAGTGCCAGATTTCTCTTTAAACCTACAGTGGCTTCCTTTATTGATGTGTCTCTTTTCTTGCTCTCCTCTATTTCTCTCCCCACTCAGTCTTCCTAATCCTTCATGTTCTCCTCCCCCCACCTCTTCTCCCATTCTCTTTCTTCTACCTTCCTCCCCCCATGGTCCCCATTTGTTCAGGGGCTCTTGTCTTTTCTGCTTCACTGGGGGACTGTGTATAACTCTCCTACGGTCCTCCTTGTTTCCTACCTTCTCTGGAGGTGTGGATCCATTGCTCTATTTCTAATATCCATATATGAGTGAGAACACACCATGTTTGTCTTTCTGTGAATGGGTTACTCACTTAGGATATGCCTGCAAATTTCAATAATCCATTGTTGTTTTTTCCATTGAGTAGTACTCCATTGTGTAAATGCACCACATTTTCTGTATCCATTATTCAGTTGAGGGGCATCTAGGTTGCTTTCAGGTTTTGGCTATTACAAATAATGCTGCTATGAACATGGTTGAACAGATGTTCTTGTTGTATGAATATACATCCCTTGGGTATATGCCTAAGAGTAGAATTGATGGATTTTGAGGTATACTGGTTCCCATTTTTTGGAGAAACTGCCATACTGATTTCCAAAGTGACTGTACAAGTTTGCACTCCCACCAGCAATGGAGGAGTGTTCCCCTTTCTCCAAATCCTCTCCAGCATAAACTGTTGTTGGTGTTTTTGATTTTAGCCATTCTGATGGGTGTAAGATAATATCTCAGAGTTGTTTTGATTTGCATTTCCCTGATGGCTAAGAATGTTGAACACTTTCTTATGTGTCTTTCAGCCATTTTAGATTTTCCTATTGAGAATTTTCTATTTATCTCTGTATCCCACTTTTTAATTGAATTAAGATACCAGAAAATGGAAAGATCTTCCATGCTCTTGGATAGCTAAGATCAACATAGTAAAAATGTCAGTCATACCAAAAGCTATCTACAGATTCAGTGAAATCCCTATCAAAATTCCAGCACAATTCTTCACAGACCTTGAAAGGATAATACTCAACTTTATATAGAAAAACAAAAGACATAGAACAGCCAAAACAACCCTGAACAATAAACGAACTCCCAGAGGCATCACCATCCAGGACTTCAAGATCTACTATAGAGCTATAGTAATGAAGAAAGCTTAGTACTGGCACAAAAGCAGACAGGTAGACCAATGGAATCTAACTGATGACTCTGATATTTACCTACACACCTATGAACACCTGATATTTGACAAAGATGCTAAAAGTATACAATGGAGAAAAGAAAGTATCTTCAACAAATTGTGCTTGCATAACTGGATGCAGACATGTAGAAGATTGCAGATAGATCTATATCTATCACCATGCACAAATGGATCAAAGACATCAACATAAATGCAGTCACACTGAACCTCTTAGAAGAGAAAGTAGGAAGCACCGTTGAATGAATTGGTACAGTAGACTGCTTCCTGAACATAACACCAGTAACACAGACACTGAGATCGACAATTGATAAATGGGATGTCCTGAAACTGAGAATCTTCTGTAAGGAAAAAGGCACAGTCAACAAGACAAAACGGCAGTCCACAGAATGGGAAAACAATCTTGACCAACCCCATGTCAGACAGAGGACTGATGTCCAAAATGTCTTCAAGCTTATTAATTATGTGATCCCTTGCAAATATATTAGGGCTAGCAAAATGAAGCTACATTTTTGCACAGGGTCCCATTAAGGCCCACTTGCGTTCCTTTTGAACAGTGTATGACACTGGGATATATAATGTCATCTGTCCTCAGTTACATAATCCATTCTGTAAGAAGATAGAATGACTTTTAAAAATGGAGTGAGAAGAAGTGGATGTGTTACAAAGACATGACATCTTTGTGAACATAGGACCTTTAAAAGGTATTTCTTGAAAACTTATAAGGGAAAATATGATGACTTTTAAATGTTGTTGAAATTTAGACCTTAATAGTGTCAAAGCCAGATTCAGGAGGGAGATATATTTGTAGAATTATTTGCTTGATTATCATCTATATAGTAAGTATTTACTTAAATAGATGGTGTGCCTTCCAATTGAACATACTTCTTGAGGGTAATCAAGCTGGTCAAAATTCCATTGTATACCTCCTTTGGGCACAAACCTCAGAGATGTGATGAGAGCCTGTAATATCTGCAGCACACAGTACCATTATAGATTTAGTAAGCCCTTAGTTATTGGGTCCTCATAGGCAAGCCCTGTAGACAGACAAGAATTCCCTGATGTCTCACCATATCCCTGTCATCTGATGTGGAATACAGTGTGAAAATATAATTGACTCATCATTTAGAATAATGCTTCTCTAGTCATGGAGAATACCCCTTCTTTGAGAAAGCCACCAGTGCTGAGTTTCATTACAAAAGATACGTGTGTCAATGGTTATTTTGGCTAGAGAATTAACCAGGAGTGACCTCTGTTATCCAGAGCTTGGATATCTTATGTTCCAGAGTATCTTTAGAAAACATTAATCAGCATAAAATAGCACAGTCATCACTGGTATTTTGACTAGGACTAAAATCAATTTAGATTACTGGCAAGGCTTGGTAGACTTGTTTATGACTATGAGACTCTGACCTAGATGATATGTTAAGTTTCTGATATATAATCCTCTGATATTGTATGACTAGAGACTATGTAATCCAAATGGAATGAGCAAATCCACTGGCAACTTCAGATAAGTTCTTCATTACAGTTTTCCTCATAATAAAGTGTTTTACACACACACACACACACACATAAAACCTTATATATTTATGTTTGGTATACAAGGCCATGCTACTAGATCACTGTCATTTATCTGTAAGCAATTTTAAACCATGGGCCTCTTAAAGTATCTTGGAAGAAACAAGGGGATTGCTTCTGTTGTTTCTACAGAAGGGAGCCCTTGTATGGTTCCTTTGGATTGATTAGAATCAGAATACACCAGAGTTTAGTTGGAATTCAACTCTAATCTGAAAATTCCATCCTGTGATACAATGTGTCTCTGATATCCTAAGGAGTTCAAGATCTTTGCAGATGGATTCCCTTCTTGGCGCCCTTCAAATCCTTCTATGGAGATTGCATTCTCCAGATCCTCTGAGCTCTTATCTTTGAGCTTCCAGGGTGGTTGGCTGCTCTTTTGATGTGTATCTTGCCTTCAAAATCACATGTGGTGTATGTTCTTGTTGTTTGAAGGTCAGATGAGAACTCTATCCCTACCTACTCTAGAAATGTTAATGAAGTAGCTGTTATCTCTTAAAAACTGCACATAAATACTCAGATAAATCAGTGTGAGGTCTTAATGGGATGGGAGGAGGTAAAACATTCAAGGTATATACACAGGGATAGGCAAGACTGAAACAACGTATTTTTGTTTATTTGCATAAAAGAACCGAAAATTAGTGGTTTTGCTCCATGATATACAGGTGTAGCTCAAACTGAGGGGCCATTTCTAAGCAGCATGAATTGGAGGGAACGTGTCCAGCAATCAGTGTATGAAAGTCCAGCTTCACACACAAAGTCTTCTAACAAGACCCATGGCAAAGTCCTCCATGTTAATACTCATCAAAGAATGGAAAGTTGGGGTGAGCACTGAACCTGCAATGAGAAGGAACAAGGCATCTGATGACTGTTTCTAGTATAAGATTTCTATAGCGATGCCACTGAGGTGAAAGTTGAAATCTTTATTTTCTGATAAGTCATGTGACATGCATTCTTACTTTTAGAAACAGTATTTTATAACAGATCTGAGGAAGAGCAAATGACCTGTTTAAATATGTTTTCCTTGGAACTTAACATAGAGAGCCCTGAGCCAATCATTCAAACACATACAACTTTCTATAAAGTAAAAAGATGATGATTTCTTTTAACTGCAAATTCTCAATGAAGCAGAAATGGTTTTGTCTTGTTTTGAATTGGGAAAGTCCACTTATGTATTTGACAATAATGGATACTTTTGGGGATCATGAGATGGTTCAGCAGGTAAAAGTGCTTGCTGTCATCCCAGGTGACTTGAGTTACATCCCTGGAACCCCTATTGTAGGTGGACAGAATCAATTCTTGCAAGTTGCCGTTTGACTTTCATATGCATGGTATATGTGTGAACACATACACATCAAATTAAAGCATAATAAAAATTTAAGAACTACTCTTAAGTGATAAAGTAATTGATAGCAGCTTAGTGCCAGTTTTCTTCAATCATTAATTATTCACTAGCCACTTATGATACAGGATATGTTATGTTAGATTTAGAACTAGTATTGCCATTTATGAGACTGAAGTTCCATGATCAAAGAACTTACTTTACAGTAGCATGAAAGCGATAAAATGATTTATCATTTTAATAGGAACAATTGCTGATTGCTTGCCTTCATTTCCATGTTTTTGAATAAGTGTGTTTACTTCATTATTCTTATATACTATTAAAATATTAGCAATAGTTTGTTAATACTGGTAATAACCCACCTTACAATTTTGGATCACATGCTATTGTGCATTCTGATACATTTTATGTATTATCATGCTTAATTTGACTTAACTATCAATACATTTTCTCACTACAAAAATTCCTTGCTTAACCTCTTTTATATTATGCATCTTTTTGTAAATTATAAAGACTTATAGACAGCATGAAGGAAAGTAATGATCATTTATTGAGTGTAAATAGTGTTCTGTTTACCACAACAATCTAGACATCCTTTTTTGTTTGCTTTTTGAGACAGGGTTTCTCTGTATTGTTTTGGAGTCTTTCCTGGAACTCTCTTTGTAGACCAGACTGGCCTCGAACTCGCAGAGATCCGACTGCCTCTGCCTCCCGAGTGCTGGGATCAAAGGCGTGTGCCACCAATGCCTGGCTCAATCTAGATATTCTTGAGAAAATGTTTGTCTGAGTCCTGAGCACACATACAGTGCAAAGGAAATAAGAGTTTTGATATTATTAAAACAATTAAATCAGTAAGACTCAATAAGCAATTCCATATGGAGAGGGATGAGAGCTGTTGATCAGTGCCACAGAGATGGTGAAATTGCCTTTGGCCTAATAAGAAATTGAACAGATTTTAGAGATGACATTGTGAAAATTATTATTACAATATTTAAAACTGTGACATTGAGATATCAAGAATGTATATCCATACAGTGCATACAGAATCTAAGATCTGCAGGAAGGATATAGACTCAGCATTGATGTTGGCTGACCCAGAACATTTCATGCAACTGACACAAGAGGGGCATGTGTATCAGATCAAGGTGACCCTGCATCCACCTTCCTTTTGCTGTGTCCAAGAGTAAATCTCACTGAGTCTAGAAAGAGAATTCTAGAAGTCTGTGCCTTCTCTAACTTTGTTCTTTGACTTCGTCATACTAAGACAACTTTTGAGAGACACGATATTAACATACTCTCCTTAGAAAATAAGGGGAGAACCATAAAATTACAAAAGTTATAAGAGTTACTTACATATCAGCAGGAAAGTATCGTAAATTTCTGTGCAGGCCATCTAGGATTTTCATGTGACCTGAAGTCAACTGGAAATCAAAAACCTGTTATAGAAGTAGAAATGTTATTTTAAGTATATACTTATGGAGGATATTTGTCAATCTGAGACAATAGACACTACTTAAAATATCTGAGGAGTAACCCCCTCAATCTCAAAGTCATCAAGAAAACATTGAAAACCAGATTAAAAAATTAAATGGAAATACATCATCGCTCATAATATATAATACTACAGACAAAGATTTCAAAGGATACTGGACATGAAAGCTGTCAAGATTGAAAAGAGATAATATCATGTATGCAAAAGATTCAGAGAAGTACAGAGACAGTTTTGAAAATGCACTTCAGTAATTTTCATGGATACAGTTGCATTTGTATATGTTATCCACAAAGAGTTAGGATGAGAAAAAAAGTCATTTTTAATATTAAAGTAGAAATTGACAAATTATTAATGATTCCTGGCCAAGGGACTCAGAAACTGGCTGGAAAAGGACTCATTGTATATAATTCCAACCAGTTTTATCTTGAAAAAAGATTATAACTAACTATTTTAGCATTAACACATGGGTCCATAACTGATTGGTGTTACTCTAAAATAGTGTTATAGAGAAATAAAAAAGTATCAACAAAATTAGGTAAGAGATATACTGCTTAATTTATTAAAATTTTTGCACATTTAAAAATTAAAAACAAAAGATGTGGATGTATGAAGGATGCATGTTAAGAGCTGTGGTCCTGGGTTTCTTCATCACCTGTATGTTCTCTCTGATTCGCTCCTCATTGAAACTCTTGACTAGCACCACAATCCCACGCTGTAGCTGGTAGCGAAGGGCAATTAGGGCGGGAGTCTGCTTGTAAATCTTTGCCATAGTACAAAGAACTGGATCATCCAAGAGAAATGGGGTATCTTCATTTACACTGGAAAGAAAGACAAACTCCAGAAACTGTACATCTTCATTGCCAGTCTTGAATATAGATGACAATGGCCACAAGAACCCAGGAATTCTCAAATGTCGTCAGTATGCTAGCAGCCAATCACCATTTGGGACCTTTCAGAAATGTAACTCCACCTGACTGAGAGTGAATTCCAGAAGCCTGACTATTGTAATTAAGAGTCTGTTAACAGTTGTGACTTAGAGATGACATCTGCTTTTCTCATTACCAATATTTATATCTCTGAGTTCCTAGTGCACCATAGGCAACCAGGATGATGTCATTCATCTTGCAGTACTCCAGCATCTTGCTTTGGTTGAGATAAGGATGACATTCTACCTGTATGTAAACAGAATAGGTATTACATGAAATCCATTATTAATATCAAAGGAATATTAAAGGGAAGGAAGCTGAATAAAATGATCAATATTAGCATGAAATGCTAATTGAGAACATCCTGTAATGGACACATGACTTGACCTGGGAAGGGGAAATAGATGGGATATCCTGGGTTAACTGGGATTGGGGGTGATCAGGAAGGGGTAGGGAATGGGGGATGAGAACATAAGGGAATTAGATGGTTGAGTTGGGGAAGGGAAGGAGAGGGAGAGCAAAGAAAGAGATATATTGATAGAGGGAGGCTGTATAGGTTTAGGGAGAAACCTGTTACTAGGGAAATTCCCAGGAATCCACAAGGAGGAGCTCAACTAAGACTCCTATCAGTAATGGAGAGGGTGCCTGAAGTGGCCTTCCCCTTTTAATCAGATTAGTGACTACCCTAGCTGTCATCATAGAACTTTCATCTAGTACCTGATGGAAACACATGCAGAGATCCACAGCCAAGCAATAGATGGAACCTGGGAGGCCAGTTAAAGAGAAGGAGGAGGGATTATATGGGCAAGGGGGTAGTCAGGATCATGACAGGGAAACCCACAAAGAGAGCTGACCCTAGCATGTGGGAGCTCTTGAGCTCTGGATTGGCAGCTGAGAAACCTGCATGGGACTGAACTAGGCCCTCTGCATGTGGATGACAGTTGTATGGCTTGGTCTGTTTGTGGGGCCCCTGGCAGTAGGATCAAGATCTATTCCTGGCGCATGAGCTGGCTTTCTGGAGACCATTTCATATGGTGGAATGCCTAGTTCATCCTTGATACATGGGTGATACATGGGGGATGGGTTTAGGAATGGAGTGGGAGGAGGGGAAGGAGGGGGAACTGTGATTGGTATGTAAAATGAACTTTTTGGATTTTATTTAAATTTTATTTTATCTTTTTTTTTCCCGTTTAAATTTAGATAAGAAACGAGGTTGCTTCACAAGTCAGTTCCAGGTCCCTCTCCCTTTCCCTCCCCTCCTCCCGTGCCCTCCCCCCAATCCCCCCCCGTTATCCCCCTCATTCCCCCAGGGAGGGTGAGGCCCTCCATGGGGGTGTCCATAGTCTGTCATTTCATATAGGGCAGGGCCTAGACCCTTCCCCAAGAGTTCAGGGTGAAAGTGCACCTCACATTGTTCTATGGGGTCCAAAGTCCGTGTGTATACTTGGGATGGGTACTGATCTGCTGCAAAAGGCTCAATAGATTCCCTAGGCCTCCTCACTGACACCCAAATTCAGGGGGTATTGTCAGTCCCATGCTGGATTCCCAGGCTGATGCCTGGGTTTCAAGAGTTAACCTTTGTCTAGTCAGCTGTTTCTGGGGGTTAAACCAGCCCAGTCTTAATCCCTTTGATCACCAGTCCTCCCTCTCTGTTACTAGCTTTCTTGAGTTCAGCTCAGTACTTAACCAAGGGAGTCTGCCTCTTCTTCGATCAGTCACTAAATGAAGTTTCTGTTTCCCAGACTCTCTGGCCATAGGATTGTAGGCGCCACCACTGCCCGGCTACTTCACTGGTTTTTAGCATCCTTTGATATAATACTCTAACCACAGTAATGGACGAGATTTTGTAGTGGATGTATTCTGAAATATGTAGACATGAATAGTTATTTTTATAATTTATTTTCAATGGGTTCATCAAAACATTAAACACATGTGTGTAAATGTAGGCATTTTAACTTGCCTGGATTATAGAATATGGTATGAATCAATCATTTTAGACCAATGGTTCTCAACTGTGGGTTGTGATCCCTTTGGGTTGAATGACCCTTTCACAGGGGTCACATACCAGATATTTTGCACACCATATCATTACTTTACAATTCATAGCAGTAGCAAAATTACAATTATGAAGCATCAATAAAAATAATTTTATGGTTGGGAGTCACTACAACATGAGGAATGGTATTAAAGGGTTGTAGCTTTAGGGAGGTTGAGAACCACTGCTTTAGATACCCTGATATTTTGTATCATTATTCCAAATGTTCTAAAAGGTTGAATGTAATTCATTATATAATTGATGCAAAGTATTACTTCTGTATTATTTCTTTGAAATATATTTGAAAATAATATGTTATTATGTACCCAGCACATACTTGTTACATTTTTCTAAAAGAGAAATCGTTTCTTTTTTCTGTTTTTTCTAAGACAGGTTTTCTCTGTGTAGTCCTGACTGTCCTAGAACTCATTTTGTGGACCAGGCTGGCCTCAGATTCTCAGAGATCCACCTGGGTCTGCTTTCTGAGTGCTGAGTGCCCACTCCACATTTCTTCTTTTTTTTTTTGGTTTTACGAGACAGGCAAATTTCTTATATATAAGTTATGAAAAGTATCTCAGATCAGAGAATCAGCACTCAATAGATGTTGTCAAGCAGCAGATCAACTCTAAGCATTCCTGCAACTTCCTGTGTATGTATTACATCAACTACCAGGATTGTTGTATTTTACACTGTTCCTTTATTATTTTTTTTACACACAGATAGCATTTAATGCAGATACCGATTCACCTGCTATAGGAATACGACACTGTTTTGTCATTTCAGAAATATCAGTGTAACACAAGAAAGCACAAAACCAAAAAAGTTATCTAGGTAGATGGAAAGCAAGAAGCAAGCTATGCAGAATTACTGTGGCCTTGTAGAACAGCTCAGATAGGGGCCCTTAGTCACCTGGTAAGGTACAAAGATAAGCAACAGTTTTCTTTGCTTTCACTTACATTGTGCTAGGCAGAGCAAAAGTACTATATGAGCTCTTTATAAATTAACTAGTTGAAGTCATTTGCTAAACGCACATGCTATGTATTCCACTGTCTACAAAGAGATAGACATTACACAGTGACCGACTGGAATAGAAATGGGAGAGACAATGAGTTCACCTGTATGTCTGGAAAGGGCAAGCAAGAGTTGACTAAATTAGAGATCATGTTTACTAAGACTGAAGTTATATATGCTTATTGTTATTTGTTTTTTCAGTTTAAATTTAGATAAGAAACAAGGTTGCTTCACAATTCAGTTCCAGGTCCCTCTCCCTTTCCCTCCCCTCCTCCTCCTCCCATGCCCTCCTCCCAACCCCCCACATTATCCCCTCATTTCCCCAGGGAGGGTGAGGCCCTCCATGGGGGTGTCCATAGTCTGTCATTTCATATAGGGCAGGGCCTAGACCCTTCCCCAAGAGTTCAGGGTGAGAGTGCACCTCACATTGTTGGATGGGAGTCCAAAGTCCATGTGTATACTCGGGATGGGTACTGATCTGCTGCCCAAGGCTCAATAGATTACCTAGGCCTCCTCACTGACAATCACATTCAGAGGGTCTTGATCAGTCTCATGCTAGATTCCCAGGCTGATGCCTGGGTTTCAGGAGTTAACCTTTGTCAGGTCTGTCTCCCTTCATCATTGTTTTGCTTTACCAAACAATGATAAAATTACAAGCCCTGCAGGGAACCCTGGATGAAGGCTCTATTCTTAGCACCTTTTGCTCCATAAAAGAGGTTGAACAAGTAGGGAGGACACACAGACACTTGTCAATGGGACATGAAGAAAGCAAAGAGCCTGAAGGAAAATAGGTAAGGGAGCTCACCTGGTTGCACACAGGCTTATACTTGAGCCCTGGCTTGTTCAGGATCATCTCCAGCTGCCTACAGTTGAAGTTGGACACCCCAATGGACTTGGCTAATCCTGCATCCTTACACTTCTCCATGGCCTGGGAAGAAAACATTGGTGAAGAATACATACACAGTTGGAATGTGATTGCCAGAAATACAAAGCTGGAAAGGAACAGTGCCAAGAAAAGAAAGTGAAGTTGACTGGTATTTATTGGTAAGAACTGATAATTAATAAAGTAAATGACAGAAAAGTCCTGTGCTCTTCTTAGGCACTCCTGATTGTTGTATAGGGAGGAAATCAGGTTACGATTATTCTTCCTACTTACACTTTGTTTTTACTGTGCATTTCCTTACTACTTAAGCAGAGAAAGACCATAATGTCTACAGCAAAGATACCTCATCCCTTTACTTCTTGTGGAGTTGAGTGAACTTGACCTCTCTAGTTTTTTCAGTCACACTCACTGAATTGGTTCTTTGAAAATGCCCTCTCACCCTACAAGCCTCTTTCCCACATTCATTTCTTTTGTTTTGGGGCCTTTTGAACTTAATCATGATTATCTATGTGATCATGGATTTGGAAATATCTATTGGAGTCTGGTGGTTTCCTGAGTGGATACCCAACCGAAGACAAAGATTGCCCCTTCCCCAGAATCTATTGCCAGTAGCCAGTTCAACAGGGGGAGAAGGGGTAGGACCACATGATTCCTTCCAAGATTTATGATTGACTGCCGACAGACTCGAACTTGCACAGGTTTATTTGGGGGTTAGAGGGATAATGTCTGTATTGCCTGTATCATGCCCTGAAGACACCATTCTTCTCTCTGTCTTAGGACTCTTCCTTCCTTCCTGCCCAGAGTAATAGACATTCTGATCACTCAGCTATCATATTTTCTTGCTTTCTCTTCTTCTGTTTTCTCTGTGGTGTTTATTGTAGTCACTCACCTCCCATGTGGCACAGAGATCCACTGTGTCAAGTATTATGTTTCCATGTTCATCTTGAGGTAAAATATCATCCCCTGGCTGCAATAGTAACAGTCATTAGAGAAATCTTATCATTTTAACATCTCTTCCTGTAGCTGTGTTCCCAGATAAATTTATGGTTGGGAATCAAACCCATAACATAATTCATATACTAATGAAGTACCTTTCATGCAGTTCTAAGAGATGTCTTTCAGCAACAGTACTTTATGTTTTCATATGCTGTGTGTGATAATAAACAATACATTTCCATGTCCTGTGGCATGTACTAGTTGACACATTACTTTTAATACACCTATACGTCTTCCTATTGTAGTGTCCATCTTTCTCTGACAATGTCATTAGTGTCATTGAAGTGATTTCAGGCGATTACACATTGTAACCTTGACACAGGATAATCAGGGCTCCAATGCATGGACTTTAGTGTTTTGAGTGCATGAGTGATAGAAAGTTAGGAAAGTGAGAAAAAGTCAATTGGTTCTTTGCAAGATGGACTTTGATGATGGAACATATAGGAAGCCATCTAATATTATTGTGCATGAGCATTGAACTAAAGGCCTTATTTAATCAGCAGTAGAAATGGTTGAAAAAATACTGACCAGTCTTCTAATAATATAGTCAGGGTATGCATAAGTGGAGACATTTCCAAAGACCACTCTTTACCTCTGCTCCTTTGTACGATGAAGTAAATTTTTCATGTAAGTTATCTTGAGTAGTGTTTTAAAATATTCTTTTTATAATTTATTTATTTTTTGATTTTGGTATGAGTTCATGCAACATGGCAGATGATCAGAGGACAACATGTAGGAATCAGTTCTTTCCTTCCATCATTTCTGTAGCCATACCTTGTTTTATAACTTGTATAAGTAAATTGTGATTACATAAATTTTTATAAATTAAATACATCTACTCACAAAATGAAAGTCATGTTGACAGGTGAAGTTAGACACTTCAATTTTACAGATTGCCTACCTTCAGAGACACTGGGAAATGAATGAGATAGAGGTCAATGTAGTTCATATTAAGCTTCCTCAGTGAATTTTCCAAACTGGGTCTGACCAATTCTGGACGATGGGAAGTTGACCAAAGCTACAGAGTATAAATAATGGGAATGTGTTAGATTAATACATTACCACAGTCAGTGGCTTTCTGTCCCCTAGTATTGAGATGTTTTCAACTGCTTAAAAATTGACCACAAGACAAAAAAGAAAAATACTGGCTTTAATCCTGAATATACTATGGTGCTGTCCATCTACATAAACTCTCATATGAGTGGTTGTTATTAGTAAATATTTTAATTCCTTCACCCACCGAACTCAATGGGGGAAAATTCAGTATTCCTTTAATTTATATGACTAAAGAAAAGGGTTTTAGTATTTTAATATTTTGTGAACATAGTCCTAGACACTTTAGTTATTTCTTAATTTAATACCCAAAGTGCTATTTTATGATGTTCTGTCTTACCTATAAATATGACATATGTTCATAATTTAGAACATCATTCAGCACATAAGAGAACTTTGTAGACACAGCAGAGTCCTCTCTGATAACATAGTTAATGCTAAGTCATAGTACTTTCATCAGTCTCAGAAAAGCAAGGGGAACAGTAAACTTACAAATTTAAATACAGCAATGCTGAGACAGCCATCATCTCCCACGTTTGATACTGAATGCAATATGTAGGCATGCATGATTAAATGATTGCTTTTAAACACAATTCACCAACTACAGGTTAATCATACTATATCATCTAAATACATCCCCCATCACTAATTTGCACAATCATGCACTGTATATATGATACCTTTGAAGTACAGAATATATCTTCCCTTTTCACAGTGCCATCTTCAATCTTGTTTCGAATGGCCTGTCCCACCTCTTTTTCATTTTGGTAGAAGTGAGAACAATCAACATGGCGGAATCCAACATCTATAGCTATTTTGACAAAATCCATAGGCTTTTTATTGAGATGCTAAAGAAACAGAAATAAATAGTATTTAAAGGTCTCCATGATTAAGTTTAGTACAGGCAACAACTTTTATAAAAAACAATTTCTACCCGTGTTGTCATTCAGTTCTGCTTGGAGTGATGGATCCAACCATTGGTAAGAAATCTAAGTTTCCAGAAATCAGAAGACAATAGTCTTAGAATAGTAACTAGTATGCTATGTTAAACTTATTTTAGCAGTTAAATAATATACGTGTTACAAATAAATATGCACAGTGAAGATAAATCCTCAAATGACAGATTTATACAAAGAAACTATCCAGCTTACAAAGGAAAATTTCAAGTAGTTGTCAGATTTTACAAGGAAATTCATAATTTTAGGAAAATTATATATAAAGCAAAATTTAAAATTCTATTGTCCTCCAACTTTGGTTAAAAGATAAAAAATGATGAACCAGCATATTCTTCCTTATTATTTACTAATTAAATTTACCTTTTATTTCAAGCTTTCGGTTTGAAGGTAGGAAGAATAAAACAATTGTAAACATTCTTTTATGAAACAGTATTAAAGGTTTTTTCAGACAAGTAATAATCATACTATTTTTAAAATAGGAGCAAGTAAAACAGATGATGGCTGCCCTGAAGGAGAATCCTCAGAGGGATGTAGCTAGAGATCTTTGGAATGTGAATTATCACTTTGGTTGCTCCTACAGGCACCTGTGTGACTAGAGCTGCCTGTGATAGGAGAGAGGGGAAACAATTAAACCAGTATGAAAATATTTCCATGTTTTATTAAACCCTTCAAAACTAAATATAGGAACTCATCAGTTGGATATATATACATATATATATATATAGTCTGTTCTTAACCTTGCAATTTCATAGAGATCTAAATGTGTTTTTTTAATTATTAAGTCAAGAATTTGACATCACTACTGGAAGAGAAAGTTGTGAACCCTGCACGCTTCAGTAATGACTTAGCAAGATATGCCCACTGCTAACATAGTTGCATGAATATTATGGCAGTAACTAATTGGTTTTGAGTTAAGCCCTAGACCACAAGACACATCCCATGCCTGGCATCCTTCTGGGGTCATGAACCTGTGATCAGACAAGTCATAGGCCCTAGAGAAGAATTTAAATAGACATAGAATTAAACTGATTCCTAATGACTTATTTATCCTTACATCCATACATTAATGAATGTCTCAACTGTCATCAGAGAAGGTAATCAGGATATATTATATGAGAAAAAAATCTATTCTCAATAAAAGGGAAAAAGTAAAAAGCCATAAGTATGAGAGAAAACAATCATTATGTATAATAAAAATGATAGCTATTTTTAGCAGTTTTGTAGGAAATTAAAACGAATTGTGGTACTGGCATGAAAGTGATCACATAGATGAAGGGAATAGACGAGACATCATAGAAGTGATTTATTCTCCAAATGATTCTCAACAAAGGCACTAAAACACAAATTATAAAAATCACAGGGTTTTCAAGCAATGAAACTAGGAACACTGAATATCCCCATGCAGAGGATGGAAATGTGACTGAAATCTGTTACATGGTATAAACATCAATCAAAACAAATCAAAGACATTAATATAAGAAATGGGATGAGCCGGGCATTGGTGACACAAGCCTTTAATCCCAGCACTCAGGAGGCAGAGGCAGGCAGGTCTCTGTGAGTTCGAGGCTACCCTGGTCTACAGAGCAAGTTCCAGGACAGCCTCCAAAGCAATACAGAGAAACCCTGTCTCGAAAAACCAAAAAAAAAAAGAAATAAAAAGAAATGGATGAGAAAATGATTAGAAGGATCATGAAGGAATCTCTTTAAACATTGCATAGGTAATTTTTGGATGATTTCTCCTAAGCAATGGCACAATAGCAAAAGTAGACAAATGATAGTATACTAAGTTAAGGACTTTTTGCATAATACTGGTAATGATCAATAGTGTAAAGAAAACAATTTACACAATAGGAAAAAAGTGTCAGTCGGTTATCTCATAAAGACTAATACCCAGAATTTATATCAAACTCAGAAATAACAAAAACCAAGTAATTAAAATAAGCATAAATCGATTGAAAAACATATTTCAATGGTTGACAAATAATAATATGTTAACAAATAACTTAATATGTATTATCAGATAACTATAATAACTAAGCTTTATTTTTTCTCCTTTTCTGGGAATCAGATCAAAACAGAAGGAAGCACTTTGATAGTTGGACCAGAATAGTGAATGATCACATGATTAAACCCTGGTAGAGAACACAGAGTCTGCCTCTCTCTTCTTACATGGCATAGCTATAACCTGGTGAAGCAGAGGACCAGAAGCCCACCAGGATTGCACAGGAACTGGTAACTTCCATTCTTGTATTTATTCCAAACCTCCAACCCAATACCACACCCATTACCTCTTCAGTTGTATAGGTGCCAAAGCCCAATACAGGAATGTAGTGGCCATCATTTAATTTCATTTTCTGAGTTTTGGAAATCATTTTTATCCACTCCTGTGACCTAGAAGACTCTCTTCTGCTCTCACATGGCAATGATCAAGCCCAAATTATAGCTCCAAATGTGTGTGACTAATCATTAATCAATGATATGGAGGTGGAATCAATTACAACAACATTCTGCTTGTAAGGAAACAATTGGCACCAGTCCACCTATTTTTATACAAACTGGAATTTGTTAGAAACTCCTACAGAGTGACCTCCAAGTGATTTTATTTAATAAATGCTGTCATTAGAATACTCTATACATTATTTTAAACTGCAGTAAGAGAATGAGTGATTATTGAACATTTCTAGAGTGGAAAACTTGAGATGTCTATTTTCTTAGTTTTTTGTTATGTTATGAAGAAAACTCATTGTTCATATACTATGTGACAATCTAGAATATTTCAACAACCTACAATTGTAACTTTTGACTTTCTTTCATTTTTTCCTTTTTTTAATTTAAATTAGAAACAACTTGCTTCACATGTCAATCCAGCTCTTTCTCCCTCCCCTCCTTCCCTGCTCCCCACCAACCACCCAGTTCCCTCTTCCCTCCCCATGGAGGGTGCGACCAAAGTCTGTCATAACATCCAGGGCAGGGTCTAGGCCCTCTTTCATGTTTCCAGGCTGAGAGAGCATACCTCCATATGGAATGGGGTCCCCAAGAGCATTCGTATACCAGGGATAAATACTGATCTACTACCTGAGGCACCATAGATTGTTGAGGCTTCCTCACAGACACTCCCTTTCAGGGGGTCTGGATCCATCCCATGTTGGCCTCTCAGCCATCAATCTGGGGTTCATGAGCTCCTCCTTGTTCAAGTCACCTGTCTCTGTGGGTTTCACCAGCCCGGTCTTGACCCCTTTGCCAATCACTCTTCCTTCTCTGCAACTGGGTTCCAGAAGTTCAGTTCATTATTTAACTGTGGGTGTCTGCCTCTGCTTTGATCAGTTGCTGGATGAAGGTTCTGTTTTCCAGACTCTGGCAATGGGATTGTATGCTGGCACTCCCCTGATTTATGTCTAAAACCAATAAATGAGTGAGTGCATACCATGTTTCTCTTTTTGTGATTGGGTTACCTCACTCAGGATGGTTTCTTCTAGTGCCATCCATTTGCCTGCAAATTTTAAGATTCCATTGTTTTTTTTCAGCTGAGTAGTACTCCATTGTGTAAATGTACCACATTTTCTCTATTCACTTTTTGTTTGAGAGGCATCTAGGTTGCTTCCAGGTTCTTGTTATTACAAATAATGCTGTTATGAACATAGTTGAACAGATGTCCTTCTTGTATGAATGTTCATCTTTTGGATATATGCCTAAGAGCATAATTGCTGTATTTTGTGGTAGACTGATTCCCATCAGTTTTCCTTAAATAGTTTCCTAGATAGAGTGATCCTCAGTTGTCTTTGAATATGGTCAGGACACTTTTTTCCTTTGTCTACTTTCTGTTTCTGTTATCTTTTTTCTCATATTGCAGTTTTAATGCAGTTTTCTCTTTTTGTGCTTTATACTTCTTGGAGAAGTGAAGAATTGGAGATGTGTTGTTTCATTTTCTTACATAGGATATTTTAGAGATTGAGGTGAAATTTAAGGTTGATCTAAATAACAGAAAGTTCAACTCTACTGAAGTGTGAGGGCTATCCTATTTGATCACATACCCCTTGAACCTAATCTGTCAAAACTAGTACTATAACAGAAATAGCACAAAATAAATGATAAAGTTCACACTGAAAAATTCCCAACACCACAAATGTCTAGACCAGAGAGATTTTCATTTCAAAATAATTGGGAATAATGATCCCTTAATTTTTCCAAAAGAGTTCCTCGCTTGTTTTATGAGGTCCATTTCTATAGAAATGAAGACTATAGAACATCATCATTTATGAATATTTATGTGAAAAATCTTTCAAAATACATAGGCACTCCAAATTGAGGAGTGTATTACAAGAATCAAACACAATATTCTATGTAGAATTTCAAAGATGATTCTATATAGAAACTTTTTCCAGTGTAATACACATTAGGGAAAACTTGGTCTTGAAAACTCATACAGAAAACCACCTGGTAAAGTATAACTTTCAGGTGTGAAACAGAAAGCAAACTAGGAAACTCCTCAACACAACAAAGGGTATAAAAAATAGCTTTGGGCATCCATTAATGGTCTTGTTATCTATTCTTTGTCAGCATTTAACATCATGTTGTATATATATTTTGCAGTTTCTGAGAAGAGACTGCTCTGTCCTGATTTCTTTTGTCACTTTAGAGATACTTGTCTTACATATATAAACTCAACTTTGGGGAGAAAGTTAAGATATAACACACACACACACACACACACACACACACACACACACATACACACACACAATATTGAGTCTAATTTTATAACTGGATATGTTTAATTGTTTAAAAGATAGTCTTATTAGAGAAATGTTAGCTTTTCTCAGAAGGGCAAATATCAAATACTATAAGTTACTTCTAGATTTGTATCAAAAATATTTCAAATCAGGTCATCAGAAGGATATGGCAGTATTTAGGCAGCCATATTCACTCAATTCATAATATTGGGGACAGTCAACATTGGGATACCCAAAAAGATACTCATATCATCCAATAACATGGATGAAACTTAGAGATATTTTTCTGAAGTTGAGCATATTTATGAATATATAATTATTATATAGAAAAATGAGTACATTTTCTTCAGAATACAATATCATAAGCAATGTAGCAGTATGTTTTGATGAGATATATCTACACATCACACAAGCTTACTTTATCCTCCCTTTCTCCTGTTTAAATCCCTTTTGTCTTACCTAATATTTCTCATGAATGGTTATGATACCTTTCCCCCATAAATTCCATGTAAGGAAGTAATTTCTGACTCTTTGTGAGTCTGGATTACTTTGCCTATTTCTATTTGTCTATTTCATCACATTACTAATACCTTACTTCTCAAAACAGAAAACCTCATCCTATTATTCATACAGAGGAGGCACAAAACCTCAGTAGCCTCAACAAACTTGAAAAGGAATTACACAGCGATACTCCCACTTCTGTATATCAAAATTTACCACAAAGTGGCATTAATCAGACTAGTATGACCATGTAATAGAGGTGTGTAATTCTGAGGAATAAAATGAGAATATCTGGAAAATCCCATTATTTATGTGGTATTATGATGCTTGACAGTGGTGCCAACAACACCCAATGAGGAAGGAACTACCTTTCAGAAAATGGTGTTAGGGAAACTTGACATCTCAGAATAAAACAGTGAACTTCAAACTGTCTCACAGTCAATACAAAAATATCTTTCAATGAATCAAAGATTTAAGTATAAGAAAAAAACCTTCACCAATGAAAGAAAACATAAGAAAAAAATCTTAGCTAAACTGGATTTGACTATGATTTCCTGGTTCAGACATTGAAAACAGGCAGCAAAAGGAAAAAAATAGAGTTTTAAAAGTTTATTTATTTTATGTATATAGGTGTTTCATCTGCATGTAAGTCCGTGTACCATGTGCATGCCTAGTGCCTGTGAAAATTAGAAGATGGTGTCAGAAAACCCAGAACTGTACGGGGAATTGATCTGGATATCTCTGAAGATGCAACACATGCTATTAAACACCATCAAAATGTAAAACATATTGCAACAAAGGAGGAACATCTTCCTGTTAGTTCCTGTCATGGATGTCCCAGAAACTCCCCAAACAATATAGATGATTGCCATTGCTCTTGGTACCCACTAGAGCTCAATAGTAAGACTTTATTATTCAAGGTATAGCACAACTGGGTCACAGGGCATAAAAAATGGAGCTGGAGTTGAGCTAGAAGCTTCCTCACTACTAGCTACTCTTTATAGTTCTAGAAGGCACTATGTAGGTTACTGGGGGAGAAAAGTCATCAATGATCTTACCCAGATATGAATCTTACTGTCTTCAATAAGGATATGATTGACAACGTGTGTTTTCCTGTGCAATAGTGGCATGATTGTTATGGTGTGACCATTTTTTTCTAATTCAATTTTAGGCTTACTTCACAGGAGGACCCCAGGCTGATTCTATAAATCTGGTCAAGAAGACCCTGTAGTTTGATGGTATCATCTCTCCCAGGAGCAGGGAAAACTGTAGAAAAGAAGTTGGGAAAATGTAAGAACCAGAGACAGGGGAAGATGTACATCAAAGCAACTTCCTTTGAACATGACATAGCTACTGTGCACATGAACACACTGTAGCTGAAGTTATTTGCACAAGATGTATACACAACTAAGCTTGTTAACATGTTTTCACAGATGGAAGAGGGGTCCATGAGGCCCCAGTCTTCCCTGTGGGAGTGTTGGCAATTAATGGCTGTTGGGTGAGGGAGTGTTATTTTCTTTAGTCATGTAGCTTCTGGAAAGTTAACATTGCTCAGGGAAATAATTCTCCACCTATGCTGAGGCAAAAAACTCCAGTTAAACTCAGGGGGATACACACTAAAATGAAACACAAAAGTAAAGGGAGGCACTGTTGGAAGAAACATTTTAAGGGATTAAGGAAGAAGGTGAGAGACGGGAGTGGAGATAGGACATTAAAATTATCATATGAACATATAAAATGCTTAAATAGCAACAAATGTTTGGAAACATAGAACCAAACAATAAAAAAAACTTTTGTCACACCAGGGAATACTATCCAGGTAGTCAAATGACAATCCATAGCATGGATAAAATATTCACAAATTGTGTCTCTAATGAGGGATCAATACAAAGAATATGAAGGATCCTTATTAACACAATTACAAAAGTGCCAACATATCAATTTGTGCATTTGTAAAGGCTTAATGGTTTTCTTTTAAAAGACAATGTTCAAGTTATCAATGATATAAAACAAAAACTGTGAAAATGAAAAACAAAATCATAATGAGATATAATTTTGTGATCATTATGTGGGTACTCAAAAAAAGGATACTTAGGGAAAATCCCAAATTTCTAGAATTTGTGTGAACAATGTTGGGAATG